ACTATGCCACACAAATAATCCAGATGTGGAAAGTCAAGTAGTATCTTTTCTTTTTTTAACATGTAAAAACCTAAACAAAGCAAAGGACCTTAAGACGTCAGAGGAAATACCAGAGACTGGGATGTGCGTGGGGGTAGAAGCCAGGGAATAGTAGAGTAGAAAAAATGACTGCTGGTAGAAGATACAGTCCAGAGGAGCAGTAGACCTGGCCATTGCAAGCTGCACGCATGTATGTATTTATGACTGCCCCTTGGCTCCTGACACTTTCTCTCAGTTCTAAATCCATCTCCATGCTCATTCACTTGTCTAGATAGTATAACAGCTTTCTACTGTACCTTTTGTTTCTTCTTTTTTTGTTTGTTTTTCATCTGCTACTTCTTTGGTATAATGAGCTAAGATATAAATCTGATCATTGAACATCTCTAACTTCGCTTCTTTATTATAATCTAAAGATAATTTCTTTATAATCTAGCACAGGGCAAATTCTTTAATTTCTTTAGACTGGTATACATATTGTTTCATAAATTATCTTCTGTCATCTGATACTCATCCAAGTTTTTCCCACAACACCTACACACATCTTCTGTCACATTTTCTAACGTTAGACTTTCCCTGCATGTTCCTTGGTTAACATGTGGCTAACTGTTCTTCTAGGGACTCTTCCTTGTCCTACGGTCTATGAGATGTGCTTGTGTTCTACGTCACAGAAGATTTGATCACAGTATTTACTGACTGTCATCTTTCATTACTACAATATTAACAATTTGAGGGTAAGGATCATGTCTTTCACTTTCTATCTTCTAGAATATGAAATCTTAGATATTTCTAGTCTATGAAATTTTAAACAGTTAAAGATAACTGAAAAATAGCAGGTGTTTTCCTTCTATCTGAAGGGAAAATACTAAAAACCTATAATTCTCTGACTCCAACTTGAATAGACAGCATAAGCTAGATAAACATCTATAATTATCTTTATAGTTGATAGTTGTCATGTGCCTTGTATGACCTTCAGGAGCCAAAAGTTAACAGAAGAGCAGGAACATACAAACAAGATCAAAATAAACTTCATTGAATAATTTCAACATTGCTGGACAATGAAAGAATTAAGCATAAAAGAAATAAATGGCAGAAAAAATGACAGGTAAACAATTTTGCATCCCCCAGATGGGATTTGTAGCATATGTCCAATGTTATAGTTACTAAGCTCCAGGGATTTTTCCACTACCATGAATTACAGTTTGGGTACAGCTCTAATAAGATTTTAAAACTTGGATAACCATCAGGTGCTGGGAAGATGGCTCGGTGGTTAAAAGCACTTGTCAGGACTTGCTGAGGACATGGTAGCTCACAACCATCTGTAACTTCAGTTTCAGGGAATTGGACAGCTTCTTCTAGTCTTTGTAAGTGCCAGGCACTTACACACATTCAGGCAAATGCTCATACACATTTAAAATAAAAATATCTTTTAAAATTTAAGCCAGGCAGTGGTAGCAAACTCTGGAGGCAGAGTAAGGTGGATTTCAAACTGTGAGTTCGAGGCCAGCCAGTCTACAGAGTGAGTTCCAGGATAGTCAGGGCTGCATAGAAAAACCCTGTCTTCAAGAAACAAAATAAAACAAATTTGATAATTAAAAATCCTAGAAATGATAAGAAGTGGCTGGATACTTCTGATTTTACTTCATTTTAGTTTATAGTCTCCACAGATAACTTTGTCTGTAATGACATATAAAATTTGATTTAAGGAGTCCTACCAGTGCTCATCTTTCCTCTCTTTTTGTAATTGAATGGAGGAGTAAATCAAATCATTATAGTCTAGTTGAAGTTAAATACGTGCTGATTATGATATACAAAACCAATAAGACATTAATACACTTCACAGTCATTTTAATAAACATCTGTCAGTGTTATAAACTGTTCTGTAACAAGAAAAAACCATGACAGTCACACTCAGTAGCTAGAAAATAGACATGATCTTCTAGGCAGAAAAAGAAAACTTACAAAATCATGAGGATCTTCATCATTTGTTCTTTAAATAAACCATGGTCATGGCTCAAGTCTAGGAAGCACCTCAAAGTAGAGAAACTATTAACTTAGAATAACTTTGAGTTTCTATACTTCTGAATAAAATACAATGACTTACTTTCTTCTCCGATTTGACTCCATGAAATATTTACGTGCTCGATTCCGGCAAATTTTTTGTTGCTGTAGTAGTATCTGGCGTTCTTCTTCTAAATTTTTCTCGAGATGGATTTTCATATCTCTAGTGGTATCACTTAGTTAAGAACAACAGCTTACATCTTTAGTGGGTAAGTGTCAAGACTGTCTGATGTAGTTAAACCTCATGGTAATGATGCTATACTGTTTTTGTGGGACAACTAAAATGCGTACACATTAGTGTTGGTATATGATCAGCAAATGACAGACATATGTAGACACACACATATAATCTTCCCTCAGACTTTCCCTGAGGGGAAAATAAATCACCTTTAGAAATCATGAACTTAGTTTTTGCTCACTATCAGATATTTGGATAGCTACTGGTAAGGTATTTTTTTGGGTTATATGTAAGGAAATGCAAGATTTAGTAACAGGGAGTAGATGAGTTAAATGTCTACAGTATAAAATAAAAAATTCACTGTTTAGGAATGAAGCTTTCCTCCTCAAACCCCTGTTGAGGGCAAATGGAGAGATGAGAAGACACAGGGACAGCCGGGTGGGGGCACACCTTTAGTCCCAGCACTCAGGAGGCAGAGGCAGGCGGATCTCTGTGAATTCGAGGTCAGCCTGGTCTACAGAGAGAGTTCCAGGACAGCCAGGGCTACACAGAGAAACCCTGTCTCCAAAGAACGAGAGGCAGAGAGAGAGGCAGAGAGAGAGAGACAGAGAGAGAGAGAGAGAGAGAGAGAATAAGCCATCTGCTCATAAATATTTTCTAGAGGAAATCGAGTACTCTGGTGATCCTAGTAAATTGAAGTTCACATATAAGTAACCATTCCTTAAGCTGCACTCACATAGTTAATTGGCTTTCCCAATTTATTTGAACTTTAACTATTGTCAAATTTATCACACCATTTCTGTATTTTTCATGATTTTGAATTTCAATAAATGGTCAATGAATTACCACTTAATTTAGTGGTTCTCAACCTTCCTAATGCTACCATAAATTTTGTTGCTACTTCATAACTGTAATTTTGCTACTGTTATGAACTGTAATGTAAATATCTGATATGCAACCCCTGTGAGAAAGTCATTTGAAGCCCAAAGGAATTGTGACCCACAGGTTGAGAACTGCTGACTTACGTATTTAACACCCCATCATGAGATCTGGATATGAGTGAGATTACAGCAAAGTTACAAATTATATGGCATGACTCCTTGTCTGCTTGCTTTATAATAAACAGTTGTTTAAAAGATTTGTCCCAAAAATTAAGGTACAAAATCGGTTGCTGACAATAATGTAGACTACAATAAATATATGTAATAATGTTATGTTATATATGATGTTAATTCCAGGATCTTATAGCATTTTGGCATCAATATTATAAAGAAACTCTGTATTTCAAAATAATATTAATTTGATCCTTTTATAATGGGAACTTACTTGTTTTTAATCATTTTGTGATTTTATCAACTTTCTTCCTCCACAGGCAAGAAATTAATTTTGCCTTCATTTTAACTAAAATTCTGTCATTAACACAAACTCAAACACACATACACATTTTTAAAGGTGTCTTCTAAAGGATTTGTAACAATTACATGAAAGGGAAGGGAATTTGGTTATAACAGGTCTAGCTGTATTTTCCCTTTTGTGGTTGAGTCCTTTATTAGGATCAGACCACAAGAAGATGGTTAGCTTTTTAAAGTCAGCAGCAAATGTAAATATACCTTTCTTCTTTCAAGACAACACTGCAGGAGGGACTTCGGGCCAGATGAGAAGGATGGGGGAAGACACATCAGGGGAGGACAATTTTGCTCAATATGTTTGTGATCTTAAGAACACATAGAAAATCACAAATGTTCTGAAACCTATATAGTCCTAAATTTATCCAAATAATTCTACACATAAAACCTAGTCCACACATTAGCGCATATACTACTTGGAGCATCCTTAATAGAGCAGTGTGACCTTGCTTACTATGCTATAAAGGATGTTTCTCTTTCCTTCATTTAAAAATGGTATTGATGTTTTTAGATGCTTAAATATTTTTTGTAACCATCATCATAACAACTGCCCCCAAACATCTGCTCCTGAGAATGTAATTTCTATATAGTTAATACTAAAAAATAACAAAGAATACTATGGGCATTCACATCCTGCCTTTAGTTTTTCCAGTTAGGTCAACAACACAAGTAACTATTCGTCACGCAAGGCATTTCCCTGCCAGTCTCTTCTCACTGCCTCCACTTAAACACTCCTGAACTGAATCAGTACTTCAAAAATTCATCTCCTTACTCGTCCTCGATTGGTTCAATATTCCTATCACACAAATTAAAAAACGATATGTCACTAATGAAAATAATGGAAGCGATAGATGCTTTGTCAATGAGCCAGTTTCTTGTATTCTGAAATAGAGACAAATTAAGGACAGCATACTAAGAGTTCAGCACATAAGAAGACACAATGCCATTGGGGTGGGGGTGGCACACACCTCTAAATCCCAGTTGTCAGGAGGCAGAGGCAGAGGCAGGCGGATCTCTATGAGTTCAGGGGCCAGTCTGGTCTACAGAGTGAGTTCCAGGACAGCCAAGGCTACACAGAGAAACACTGTCTTGAAGAAGAAATACAGTGTCAAGCATGAAGAGTGAAATCCGTAAGACAGTAGTATTTACTTCAGACCACATCTCTGAGAAGACAGTTCATGGCAGCAGAAAGACAAAAGATGAGATGACAAGAGCTAGCAGCTACTGTCCCTGTCCCAGGAGCAAAGGGAAGACCCACGTATGCAGGGAAGGTTGGGGAAGCACCACCTGAGAGGGTGGCATTAATGGAATTCACATACCTGTCCTCTCCAGTAGTAGATACCCAAAGCAGGGTCTGCGGAAGAAGAGACCCTCAGTGAAAACTGGTGATTTGCTGTTAAAACTGTAATTCCAGAAGCCGGGACCTAAGGCGCTAAGGAGATGGAGAGAGAGTGGGGGTGGTTGAAGCAACCCAAGTGAAGATTCCTTGAGAAAAATGGAGATGACCATACAACATCATCCCCGCCAGCCAGAGTCCTTTGAGAATACACAGGCTAAATCCTAATTACCACGGTGTTCTCTGGAAGAGTAAACAGACATTCTATGCTTTAAAAGCAAAGCTTCCTGACATTCCCACTATGTCACCAACAGTAAGACCAAATGCGAGCTCAACTATTTCTTAGGGAAAAAAAAAAATCAGAACCCAGATTGTCAGGGTTCGGATCGGCCTCCTTTTCCTTTCCTCCGCTTGACAACAGAATGGGCAGAGAAGGAAACAAAATGACCAGAAGCTGCTTGGGTTCAGCAACTCTGGGGAGGGCTGGGGTGGGGCGGGGGTGTCAACTATGGAAGAGCACAGGATTGTACTCGGGGCGTTTCTCTAAGACACTCCAGCACGGAGGCGTGTCTATGAAAGTGAGAGCATCCGGACTGCTGGCCCATCTGATACAGGGCCGACGCGTTTTAAAATCCCAGGTCCGGGTGTGGGAAGCCCGGCGGCAGGGGACGAGGTCACGTCGCGGGGTGGGGGCGGCAGCGGCTAAAGCGACTGTCCCTTTCTCAAAATCACTTGCCCGTTCCCGTGCCCCCGCGGAAGGATACAGGTAAGCGGCGGGTCGCGGCCGGCCGCCGCCGCCGCCGCCGCCTTCCCGGGCGCCCAGCGGGTCCGAGGGGCCGGCGCCCGGGCCCGCGCCTGCGCCCTGGGCTCCGGGCCTGCCCGCCAGCATCCTTCACCCCAGGGCCGCCCGCATGGCCGCTCGGCCTCCCTCCTCCTCCTCCTCCTCCTCCTCCTCGGCGCTCCGGGCCCGCGCGTCTCCCTCCCCGCGTCACGGGCTCGGCCGCGGCGGCAGCGCTGGCTTCGCGGCCCCGGCGACGGCGGCGACGACGGCAGCGGTGAGGGCGGCGACCTCGCGGGGCGACGGCGGAGCGGGCGGCGGCGACCCCGCCGCAGCCATCTTGACAACCAACCGACGCCGCGTCCTTCGCGACGGAATCCAGGCGGAACGCGGGGCGGGGCTGGGGGCGGGGCTGGGCGGAGCGGCCAATGGGGGCCGGCTTGCCCGAAGCAGGAGGGCGGGGCCGCGAGGGGAGGGGATGCGGGGGATGCGGAGGAGGTGCTGCGGTGCGGGGAGGTCAGCCGAGGTAAACTGAGGCCCGCCGCCGTTAAAGGGAGGCGAGCGCAGGGAGGCAGGGTGAGATTAGAGCCGGGTAAGCACAGGCACACCGGAGCCAGCTGCAGGTGAGCCCGGGTGAGAGGAGGTAAGCCGGGGCGCCCCGAGGTACTCTCAGGCCAACCGAGGGGAGCAGAGGTTAAACTGAGGTGAGCTGGAGCGAGCTGAGCTAAGCCGAGGTAAGCCAACCGAGGCAGGGTGAAGGCAGGCTGGGGTGTGTAGTAGTGGCTTCTCGTCGGCCCCGCCCATAATGACCCCGAGCCCTCTTATTAATTATGAAAGCTGGGCCTATAGCTGAGGCTTGTACCTAGCTAGCTCTTGTAACTTATTAGCCAGTGATAGGTCTTTCTGTTCGGACCTCCAGACTTCTATGGTTAGCCCCCGGCAAACTACCCCGCTGTGGTCTTCAGACAGGCTGTGTTTGCACAAACAAGACGTCACCACGTTAATCTACATCCCAGGAAGTGTCACCTCCTTCCATCCTACACCTCCTGTTTCTCCTGGCGTCTTTCGTGGGCCCAGATTATCTTCTCCTACTTCCTTTGCCTGCCAGGAAGCCCTGCCTGTGCCTCCTGCCTAGCTATTGGCCCTCAGCTCTTTATTAAACCAACCGTACATGTCTCCCAAGGCCGACTTGGGCAGAGGCAGACCCTTTATGTCCGGGACCCCAGGCTGTGAGAGAGCAGGGCTGCACTATGCTTTAGAGCGTCATTCGGTTCTCCTCTTTTGTGAGTGTTTTCTTGAGCGTGTTTACAGGTGAATGGAAAAATCCCTAGACACGGACAAATATGACTTGGCCGCTTGGGAATAAGCACTTGGTGCAGAATTTGTTAGGTATGGATGGAATCCTGTGGAGAGGTTTTAGGTCGTGAGATGTTCCTGGGTATTACTCTCGTCAAAAATCACTGTCTCTAAAAAAAAAAAGAAAAGAAAAGAAAAAAAAAAGAAAGCTTTAGGAGATGGAAAGTTTCTTTCCTCCCTCGCCCTCACCCATGCCTTGACACTTGGGCCGCCCTCTCGCTACTGCCCTGCTTGTAAGGGCTTCACTGGCTTGGCTGCAGCGTCTGCAAATGGACCATCACAACAAAAACCCGCCTGGAAAGAAGCCAGATTTAGCTTAATAATCTCCTGGGAAGAGATGCCGGAAGAGATCATCATATCGAAATGGGTTCTGTGTGGGAAATTAAACAGATCGAGCCACTAGGTTAATGGCTATGTAAGTGAGAATTTGGAACAAGGCTGAGCCTTTTGTTGGAGCTCAATGTAAAAACATAAATTTTGACTGGATCTTAGTTAAAAATTTTCAATTTATTTATTTTTTGTGTGTACAAACTCCCAGATTGCTTAGCAGAATGTACAGACCAAAGAAACATGAGAACCTGTCTAAAAAACACACAAAGAAAAAAAAGGGGGCATGATTTGTTTTCTCCATCATCTACAAATGCTTGCTCGTGTAATTATTCTTCATTTAAGTGTTGCTTTGCAAAGGTAATAAAAAAAGAAAAATTTAACTCAAAGCCATTTGCTGCCACGTCTGATGCACATTGTGGCAGGTAAGAACCAAGTCTTGAACGCTGTCTTTTGGCCTCCATAACCATGCCAGAGCAAGTCGCATAGGTACATGTACATATAATGAAATGACTTTCCAACTCAGAACGAGTATTGTGACTTATTAAAACGGGAAAGAACGGTAGGAGTGGGTGGAGCCTTTTCAGCCCCATCCATGCCGGGTTGCTGACCAGCTCCAATGTCTGTGTGAGTTGCCTCAGCTCCTGCGGAGGGAAATAATTAAGGGCTAAAGAAAGGAATAAGAGGCCTCAACTTCATTAACACTACCGCACAACTTAATAATGTTCTACTTACAAAAGAAAGTAAAAGTCATTTTATTGTTATATGATCTCAGTGGAATACTGTACTAATTAATAGGAAAACCTGAGACGAATTCAATTTAATAGGGTTTATTGGACAAAGAGTAATTATCAGGAGCAGCTCAGAGAGCTCCAGTCAGCAATGTATCCACAGACTTTTATATGCTCCACACAGAAACAAAATAGAGAAATCTGACTGGGCACTAGACATTTTTAAAGTGAGTTAAAAAGCTAAAGCCTTGCTTTATGTGTTTGTGTCTGCATCATGTATGTAGGGACTGTGGAGGCCAGAGGAAGCCATTGGATCAGTTCTGAGAACTGAAACTAAGAGCTGTAACTGCTCAGCCATCTCTCCCGTCCTAGCTAGACATTTGTTATGTCTCTCCTTTTTACCCTGTTCGATATCTGCCAGTGGCTGAAGCCCAGCTTGTTTATGTTGAGCTGAAATATAGCTTTTCATTACCAAAAATATACTCTGAGAGCAGGTTCTGATATTCTGACTAGAGGAATTTTCAAAGTCCGAGTGAGCCTTACCAGTGACTCATGCTCATTTATTGTAACAGCGGTCACAAACTAGCAAGTCATGCACAGCCCGTGATGGGCAAGCCCTTGTGCTCTCACCGTGGTCTTGTCTGCAGACAGTTCCCCCTGCTTTCCACAGAAGTATTTTCTCGCACAAGTGAGTTTCCTGAGTTCATCTCCGGGAAAGCTTTGAAAGAACAAAGCTTTGTAAGTTCTATCTGATTTAGAATGCTATTCTTCATTCAATTTCATAATAATTTAACTAGAAGCTTAAAATCAAAAGTACATACCCATCTACTAATAGATTATTGAGGTCACTAATATTGCCAATAGTGTTGGAATGGTGTGTATATGAAGTGAAATAATTAAACAGTGACACTGTATCATCCTTGATTGCTTGTCGCTTCTAACAGTGTGCTAAGTTGCCACGCCCGCTGCGCAGCCTGTGTCCGATTTTTTGTTTGTTTTTAGAGACAGGGTTTCCCTCTGGCTTTGGAGGCTGTCCTGGAACTAGCTCTTGTAGACCAGGCTGGCCTCAAACTCACAGAGATCTGCCTGCCTCTGCCTCCCGAGTGCTGGGGTTAAAGATGTGTGCCACCACTGCCTGGCAAGTATGGATCTGTTTTACCAAATTTAATCCACACAATGATTCCAGGTCTATAAAAGGTGTAATTGAGCTATGGCAATATTGGGGAAGTTTCTCCAAGGTGTAAGAGGAAGGGAGTGGTGAAATGAAGATTCAAACCAGGCAGTCCACACTTCCAGCTGCTGCTATGCCTTTGCTGGTGAACCCCTAACGAAGTAGTTTCAGTAAATGATAGTTAAGAGCGTTTGGCTTTACACAATTGGTTGCAAGGAAGTAAAGGCACGAAGAGGTAATTAGTTTAAGATATTTCTTTATTCAGTAAATATTAAGTAAATATTTGTGTGCTTACTATGTACAAGCCAATGTACCAGCACCATAAAAACAATGACTCTGTTTTGACTCTGAAAGGAGGTGGAGAAGATAATATCTCAAATGAGAAGACAGGCCCAAGGAGACAGCTTCCTGAGCATAACACCAGTAGCCCAGACACTGAGATCAACAATTAATAAAAGGCACCTCCTGAAGCTGAGAAGCTTCTGTAAGGCAAAGACACAGTCAAAAAGACAAAAAGGCAGCCCACAGAATGGGAAAAGATATTCACTAACCCCACATCTGACAGAGGGTTGATCTCCAAAATTTACAAAGAACTCAAGAAGCAAGTCTCCAAAACACCAAAGGATCCAATTAAAACGTGGGATACAGAACTAAATAGAGAATTTTCAATAGAGGAGTCTAAACTGGTTGAGAGACACTTAAGAAAGTGCCCAACATCCTTAGCCATCCAGGAAATGCAAATCAAAACAACTCTGAGATATCATCTTACTCCTGTCAGAATGGCTACAAAAATACCAACCACAGTTTATGCTGGAGAGGATGTGGAGAGAGGGGAATACTCCTCCACTGCTGGTGGGAGTGTCAGCTCGTACATTCACTTTGGGAATCAGTATGGAGATTCCTCAGGAAAATGGGAATCAGTCTACCACAAGATCCAGCAATTCCTCTCTTAGGCATATACCCAAAAGATTCACATTCATGCAACAAGGATGTCTGTTCCATTATGTTCCTAGCAGCATTATTTGTAATAGCCAGAACCTGGAAGCAACCTAGATGCCCCTCAACTGAAGAGT